AACAAAATTGTTTTCATCATCATTACTGCGGTATTACTAATCCCAGACCGGTTGTATATATCGCTTTGTCTATATTCAAAACAAGCCCTTGCTCGTTGTGATTTTCTCTTTTAACAGTACAAGGCTGTTTGCTGATTCAGAGAAGTTAAATATTAACAGTACTTGCAACCACAGCAGTTCTTTTAGCATAAGCAATGAAGAAAAAAGCAGCCTTCCACGGTTTTCCTGTCACATTACTCCGGTTTCAATAGTTTTCCAGAGATGAACACAAAATATTCCAAACACTCGTCCATCATATATATGTATATTTCCTTCCGAAACTTTTTTTTTGTTCAATAGGATGAACGTAGAACATTTCAGCCTAATCTTCATGAAAATCATGAGGGTACAATTCATATCGCACATATTGCAACCAACGCTGTAAAACGAGTGCTATTATAATATAATAGAGCGTCAATGATATATAATACTTTGAATCATTTATACACAGGATTTTAGAAACGAATTGGAATTGTTTGTCATAACCGGTACATGTTTATCCACCACGTCTGCTTCTTGAGAAAGACCAATTCTTTTTAAAACAATACCGCTAAATCAGCATAATAATAATAATAATACTAGAGGTCTCCTGTTGGTGATATGAGTGGAGGTTGGCCATTGGCCCGTGCCTGCGCTTCGGGTAAATCCTCGCTACCAAGGTTATAAAAGTTCTCGGTTAGTCAAATCGATAATCTTCGGTTTCGCAAGTCTTCTTGAGGCTATTGAAGAATTTGAAATAGTCCAGACAGACTCCTCCTATTACCCTTTGTGTATCTTCTGTAGTTTTAGAACTTTTATCCGATTACCACAAAATAAAAATTGCCCCAGTAACTTGCAAATAGTTTAACTTTCGAATCAAAGCAAAGATCGAAGTATATGACAGCTATATTGATAAAATACGCTCATGAAAGCAGTATTTTTCATCTTTCTTTTTGGCGTATATAAAAAGTTTATCCAAATGTTAGTCTCCGTTAAGATGTAGAGTATAAACGTGCGACATTGTTTTGGTTTTTCGAGTTTTATGTCCGGCTATGCCGCAAGGCATTGTATCAGACATCTGGCTCTTAACCATAAAACAGTGTCTACGTCCGAATTCGAACCTATAGCACCGAATGTCTTGATTGTCAGTGCAAGTACTTTCATGTGAATAGATGACTGCGTGTCATGAGTGGATTATTTTAAAGGGCTCACGTCTTCCTAGACGCTACCGCCTAACACGTACGGTAGTGCACGTTAATGGTGTTTCCTTAGAACAGGGAAACTAGTAAACAATGGTACTGTAAGTACATTGTGCTGAAAACAACAGTAGGTTAGAAACTTATGAACCTATACACCCAATGCAGTTAGTATCATATAATAGATCACAATTTTCGCTCGCTCTATGTGGATTCCTTTGCGGCTATATAATTCATCCATTTCTTCGACATCTATTCATCCGCGTAAATGCTTGGATGGAGGCACGAACCACTGTCAACAAACGTGCGGTCCTCCAGTAGCAACAACAGCATCAATCCCTTATGCGGCCTATTTCAGCTCATGTTCTGAGAAGCTTACTATTTCCGACACTACGTTAGAGTGCACGAGTAGTCGGTGGAATAAACAAGGATCGGTCGGGCAGGGCCTTGTTAGTGCTCAATCAGCATGTCTGCTGCTCCTATTACAGCCGTGCATTTGCGAACTCTTGACATAACCCAGATTCTGTCGCGTGATTGTACCTGACGCATTATTCTGTCAGCTCCAATCACATCGCAGAGAACTCTTCCGTTTATCACTCACACTCGAAACCACAATTTTCCTCTGTATGAATTTTCCTATGACGACTAGAACTAGTAGCTGGTACACTCGCAACAGCTGGCGTCCCTGACCATGCTTTGCGTCGGTCAGGCTTGCCCGTCTGCCGGTTTCTTACTATGTAGGTCCGTATTTCAAAAAATGTTTTACTCATGCGCGAACTGCAAAATGGAACTAGAAAAGAGCGCCCCTCCATCTCTTTCCGTGTCAGAAAAATTGCATATGTGCAATGTTGGAGGGGAGCGCGTCACGGGATGGGAACGACGACGCGGCGACAGTGGCGGCAAAGGGAAGCGGTGTAGGTCACTCGTATGCGACGACTTAACTCCTGAGCTGGGCTCCGCAATGCGTCGCGACAAGACCATACGACTACACCAGACTGACACCAGAAACTAATGGTAATATGGCTGTCCCGCTACAGAGTTGCTGCCCTTATGAACGCATCGCTAGCCACAGCCAAACTTTCGGACGTGAACCACCACTGGAGATTGAGACAAAATAAGAACCCGAAGAAAAGCCAGGCAATCTGATGTCTTTTCTTTCTAACAGAATAAATAAACGAGACGCCAGGATTTTTTCGTTGGACGAGTTCAAGGTTTTCACAGGCAAACGTGCACATGTGCACATGCATCATGGTATTACAACTGTATGAATACCTATGCGAAGCAGGTCGATGGCAAGCTTATGCACAACTCCTTTTTCCACATACTGATTTACCAATCATGCATATGTTAACTGTTTCAGATATGTAACGGTACATACAGATACAAACATATATACAGATACCTGTAAGATTTACTGTTGATAAGGTAAGGAAGCTGTTGTCGACAATGATTGTGGGGTTAACATCGCAGATTTGAGCGCGTTACATTCACGTACGCCCACTTACTTGGTATATACGTTGACGTGCAGGCCCAATTTTGCATGATGGCAATTCATCTTTATCATAGTGCACCTAATAAACACACATATATTGAATGTTGATTAAACGAGCCTTATTATTATATCACCATAATTGCAGCCTCTATGTGATCCTGGATGGAGCACGACGTCGGAGTTTCTGGGTGTCGACCTTTGATTTTCACCTGTATGGACAAGTTTCCGCACAGCACGACATAGAGAAATGATGCTCGGCATAATGATATCCAATCATCCTTTGAAGTGACGAAGCGCTTCGACTCCTTTTATGTTGAAGATAGACGCGTACCCATAGGTCAATACAGTAATGCATAATATAATTTCGTGGATGGATCCGCCTATATACGTGTGTATTAAATGTATTCTATTTGGAAATGGAAAAAAATTAGAGGGAAAAGAAGACTGTGTGGTAATAAGCAGTATCCAAAATGAAAATTTAGTTTGTATCTGTTTCATAGAATTGCCACCACTTGCTTTTCGGCTTCTACCACTACCTCGAAGGCAGAATAAATGGACAATTATTAAAATAACTGCGGTAGTAATTACGTTAATGACACAACGCGTAGTAACGGTACAAACACAACTGAGGAACATCGCGACAGAAAGCTGCTGAAAGCTGGGTAACGAATAAAAAGCGCTCGCTACGTTTGACGGTAGCGATAGGTAGCCGCAGAACTCATTTAAAACGTATGCGCGAAATTTCAGCTTAATTAATGCCCGCAATTGAATCTTTTCAAAAGTATGATTATTGCAATGTTGTCCTGGGCTGCGCATCCGAAACTCAGGTAGCTAAATGTTGCAAGTTTGCGTGCAGACAATTCCATAGATCTATGTCGTGTGCATATATTAAAAGCAGCGGCGGTAATGGCAAGAACAGCTGGCGCCGTATGCAGTACATCAAGCACTGCAACGCACAACACGCAAAAATACCTTGAAGCGGCGAGAAAGCAGAATGCGCTCGCGCATCGAGTGAACCCCTATCCTTCAGCAGATAGGTAACGTACATAATGAGTTCTCTGTGTACTGAAAAAATATGAATCCTTTCTTTCTACATATCACCTACCCTGTGTATAGAAAATAGCAGTAGGATGACTGCACTCTCTAGCCTAGTGAAACGGAATGGCAGTGTCGTGCCGAACGGACGCGTCCTGCTGTACTTCTTCGGGAGCTTTCATTGTCTCGTGGCAAAGAAACAAAATGCCATTCACTGAAGTCTTTCAAACCAGCCTGAGAAGTGTACACTCATATCAGATCTGATCGAATTGAATTGTGTTTAATGAATGAATATATCAGAGAATACTGGAGAATTCCGACAATCCATGTTTCTTAGAAAATTAGAAAACGCGAGAAGCGAATGTTGCCATCGTTTACTTTGGTTACAAGCAAATTGATACCTGTAAATAGATAACATTGTATCTGTCATAAACAAATCTGATATGAATGGCAAAGAAGAACCCAATTAGAGCCTATAGCTGTTAAATAAATTCATAATTTTTATTAGCCTTTACCAATATTTGTAACGGGATGCTGTATAGGAAAAAATTCATTGACATTCAATTTCATAAAGGGAACTAGAATTTACCGAAAATTTGAGTGACATCAAATGCCAATTTTCGAAATTAGGCGTTGAAGCTACACAAACCATGCGAGCTATTCGAGCAATTATGCTGTTCGAGAGGCTAGCATTATTTCTTATAAACATCTTCGATCCATATAGATCATTCAGGGCCTCGTCGCTTTCTCAGCGTCCTCTTGTTGGCGAGCTGGACGTCAAGTACCGTCAATTCAAGGACTTGTTGTCTTCGGAAGCTGGCTATGAGCGTAGCTTTGTGAAAACATGCATATATATATATATATATATATATGGAAATATACGGTATGTAATAGAGAAATCAACACTTTTCAAATAGCGCAAGCCAAAATGAGTATTGCGTCTTGCTGCAGGGAATCACTTGTGCCCTACCTGATAATTTACTGGTTAGTAAATTTGTGATTCTTTGCTCGACGACTAAGTTACCCTTCAAACGTATTTACATATATCTACAGAAATATTCGTTCTTAAAAGCATCCGTTAGAGCTCGTTAATTGTCATTAAATCTTACGATGATGCGTGTTTTTATTTGTAGCCTAGATGCGCGCCCGAGCGCACTTGCGATTTAGTAAAACTGTCTATTACGCACAAAAACAGAAAAGACGAACCATCGAAGATGCTAGTCCTATTTTCCATCATAATTAAGTTATGATTAATGCGCTTTGGAGAGTCTTTTAGACAAGCAAGTACATACACTTATGACCCATCAATGGGTTTTTATTACCCTGTGATTCACTCCGCACATTTGTAGTTTTTTTTTGTGCTCCGAGGGAAAGGATACTCTGCAAAGAAGGAGCCAAAGTAATTAGATGATTAGTAGTAATCAGACGGGTTCACACAATGAAGCAGTTAACTGTATCGTTATAGACTAAATATTTCAGTTTCAAAGCGCACCATATTGGCATGAACGCATACGTATAGGTGATTGAAATCCTAGGAAAATAACGAAACACCTTGGCAGATAGGCCTAGGCGAATAACAGGCAGTTGTCTCAGATTCTATTGCTTGCTCCTTAAAAATTTTAACCTTGCTGTGACTCAAATGCTGAAAATGAATGCCCACTGGTGTAGGCCCTATGAACAGTCCCTTCTTTTACATAACTTACTTGCCAAAATACCCAATATTTTAGCTCCATTTTAGGTCACAATATCGGTTGGAACGTTAGATGCGCAACTGATTTGTAAACCTCTGTCCTTTCATAGAAGCTTCGTTTTCTCCAGTGGTTAGTAGATCGCAGCAGAAACAATTCCTACTTTTTTAGCTACGAAGTTGTTAGCTACGTCAATCAAAGATCATCATCGAACTCATAATTAGTGGATGCGTTACTGAAACCTTGATTACATCTTAATTATAATGTTTATGATAGGAAAGAGATCGCCACACACGATCTAAACGGAAAAGCAATGCTCAGGCAGCTGCGATGTTGAACCCAGAGCATTTGGGTACATTAGGGTTCGATTCACATATTTTGTGTCTCTAAAGCCGTATCAACTATATGAGTCAATTCTATTTATATCTGAGCATGCTCAGATCAGCGGCGGCGAAGGGGGTAGTATCTACACCTCACTGGTCATTTAGAGATATTTTAATTACTATAATACAGTCTTTATCTAGAATATAGAGTTATAAAGAAAGCGAACTTTATAACATGGTAAACCAATTATTATACTTTTAAAGTTTCAATACTATGATATATCATTTATACTATTCGATAATGTCTTCGAGAGCTTTATAGTTCGTATTTTATTTTCAATGATCCGTCAGCGATATTCACTAAGGATGTACACGTGTGTGAAGTGAAACTTTTCTCCTTCCAAGTCTTCCTAGAAGCTTGGAAGGTGAGAACTTTCCTTGAAGCTTTCGAGTCAAATGTATGACCGAAGAATGAAAACCTCGGCGAAAATGCACAAAATTCAATTTTGCTACACGCTCAACATCACTTTCTATTCTAGCTACCGGCTGGCCACTCGTTTGATTTTGATCACCGCAAGGGGTGCGCACTCAAAATCTCCCGCTCTGTCAACTTCACGGATGACAGTTTGCAAATCCGGTTTTCTGCCAATGCCGTTGAAAGTTGCCATCTTTCAAACAGCTGCCGTGTGCAAGTGTTCGACGACCTACCGTCGTGCGCAGATAGATATAGTATGGTACATCAGTACGAAGCAAGTCTCCTTTTCTCCTGCGGGGTTCCGATAACATCATTATTAATAAATCATCGACAAGAAGTTCAAAAAAGCGCGCGCCATATTCAGCGAGATTTGCAAATCTGACGGCATGAACATGTACTCCTCCGATGGAAATACACTAAAGGTTTTGGAACAATTTCGTATTAATTGGCTATTTGTTTTTTATCGGAAACAAATGATGATGTCTAGTGTAGATGTTTAAAAATCAGCATTAATGAAACACAAACTGTAATCGCGATCTAGCAGATGAGAGCAAAGCCAGTACGTGCTATTTAAAACAAAGACTTTGACATTAGTCTATCCGTAGCCAAAGAGAGGAAAGCAAAAAGACCGCGCCAAACAGAGCAGACGGCTTTTAAGAGCAGCGAAAACAATAGTTGCGATGGTAGTCCATAAACGGGACCATAGTAGGCTACACATAACGCTTAGGCAACCCAATCACACAATTAATACACTGTGACAAATTAAATTGATGAACGCTAGATTGTCCCGAGCGATCTTTTCAGTGATGGTTGTTTGTTATCGGACGCACCCCTCGAAGCGCGCGGGGTAGCAACTCATGCGCAGCGCGCAAATAACACTGTCTTATTCGTGACGGCATTAACGTCTTCAATCGGTACGAATCGTCCCTGTGAATAGATGCCAGAATCAACAAAGACTACACTTAACGGAGCGAAAAATTTGTCAGCGACACGAGGCTGATATTAGTATTTTTACGTGCTGTTCTCGTTCGTGCATTAGTCTCGTCTCAAAGACTTCTACCGCTCGGCGCAGTACGCCTTTGTTCTGGACGGCTATTTTGCTTAAAGGTTCATCAGTAGTTCTGTAATTACATTGTTTAATTATTATATAGCTGTTGCACAGTTATAGTTATGACGATTCGGATAGAAATTTGCTCTAGGAATGAAAAAAAATCTTACTCGTCCAGATGAAGGTTCGATACGAGGAGAGGATGACCGGCAGGCTCTTTATCTATTAAATTAAAGAAATTTCATTGTTTAGGCTACAACTAGTACGTACAACTTTTTACATAAAGAAATTGCTCCATGTTTTTTGATTAGTAGCATGAGCGGTTTGTAAGCGTCTGTTATTAAGGGCTTCAATTTTGCCTTCAGATGAGTGCAAGCGTAAAAGTCATAGACATGAATGTTAAGATCCCCCTGACCACGTATATATCAACTGCACATGTATGCGATAGCTAAATTAACTATTTCAACAGGAAAAAAGAAACATAATTGTTCCCTTTGTTTTGTATTGTGTTACAATTTCCTGTAGTCAGTTCGGTTATCATGACTTCATTGTACATTACAGCACTTATGAACGACCCAAAATCTGCCAGATACGTTGATTTTGTCATCGGCCCGTAACAGGACAATCGTCTGGGTGATCCCTATGCGACCCATCTCCGTGCATCTCTCGTCTACTGTTTCTTTGCGAAAAACCTTTTCTGGGAAACCCTTTTAACTTCACAAAACATACGAGCGTAGAGAAGGATCGCCAAAGATGCTGATCGAATTCATCGGTACTAACAATTGTTCTTGTGTGTATTGCGGCGGCATTTGTGGTGTTCTAACAGCCAGATAATTATCTTCGGAATGAACAAACATAAGTTAGCGCGAATATTGCCGTTACGCTCAAGGCAAAGTTAACGCGCGTAGCATTCGAGTGATGTGGTAAATGTAGATCAATCTGGAACTTACCCACATCTGAAACAACTCTACTGGAGACAGCAGAGTGCTCTAAGATGTATTTATCCACACGTGTAGTCTCGTTTTCGTAAAGCATTTCTTGTTTGCCAACGAGTGGTCAAGACGGAAAGGGAAATTCTTGTCCGCAGCCCCTGCTGCTACTAGTTAATATCGTCGCCCTACATACTATATCATATACGTAAACGGCTACCGTCAAACAAACCGCATTTGCCATGCTATTGCTTTGCCGAGTTATGGCGATACACGATAAGTTCGATACACTCTAAGGATATCCCCTTACACATGTCGTTCCTGGCACCCGTTACTAGTTTCTTCCTCGCTACGCTTTATCTCCTCTACTTTTATCCGGCCGGCCCTGCGTAAGCAAGATTGTGCCAATTAATCAACTAGATCAAGTAAACAACCCGTTCGGGTGTTCCGCTCTGTCTTCAGCGCGGGGCGTTTCGAATATCGGTAGCAATCGAGTTCTCGGGAAAGCGGCAGCGTCGTTCAGCGTTTGCGCTGCTTTTTTTTTGTTTCGAAATCACTAGGTACGCAGCCCGTTAAATAAAAGGGACGACTATCATTTATGTCTAAATACTTTCGTCGCTTTTACGTACCATCGTCGCTGCCACTTGATGACTATACGCTAGAGCAGCAACATAAACAGGGACATTATTACCGACTGGAACAGTAGCAGTCATAACCCACTGGGCTGGTTGGTGCAGCATAATTCTTTGTTATCGAAGCGCAAATAGATCTAATCGTTGTTAGCGGACGCACCAAACGCCACGAGTTCAGACACAGTGAGAAGCTTTTCGCGCATGTATCATAATATGCATCTATAGTGTTACACCCATAGTGCCTATGCTGACGCCGCTATGCGATCGAGATCACTGAAGGTAAACGTATTACTAGTATTCGGGATGAAGACATTGTCGTGGGACATTCGCTTATGGCGGCGCTATATTTTCGAAGTGGGCGGTGCCTTGGAAACATCGTTACGGTTACGTAACAACAAAGAATAACAGTGTTTCTGGTAGTAACAGTTGATTTTTGCTTGTTGCTTGGTTACCTAGCTCATTTGAAAATATAGAGTCGTGTAATAATGATCGCCAACATTTACTGATGGCTCGTGCAAAGTACACTAGCTGAAGGTGGGTATACTTAAGCAGATATCATACGCATTTGGATCAATTTATGCTTCGCGCGGAAAGATCTAGAGTAACGAGTAGAATAGGCCTCGACCGAGAGCCTTGGCGTCGCGGTACACGTAAGCAAACGGCGCCATCTGTCGTTTTGGATGCCGCTTTCGACTCTGTTTTTTGCAGTCAATGAACACCCAGCAGCAGCAGCAGCAGCAGCTCTCGCACGTGACGCTACGGTTGCCGCAGCTGTAACAAACGAAAAAAGGCACCTTGCGATCACTGAATAATCGATGTATTTTCTGAATATTAATATATACATGTGTGTGTATATATAAGAGACAGCCACTTACTTGCATGCACAATGACATATAATGAGACTGTTTTCGTGATTTTTTTAAATCTCTCGTGAGATGGTACTAAATTTTTTGGTAGGAAACGACAAAGCGCATTTCAGGCGAATTTTAAAACTAATCGAACGTATACACTATATCTTCTACAGTCATCTAATATCCGTCGAGATCATATAATGGAGTAGGTATAGATCGACCTGGATGATCAGAGGCCTGTTAGTTATAGTTATAGTTAAAGTTATATAGATATAATTTATTCAGCGGTATAGATTACCCTTAGTCACTGGTATTTGTACATTTGCATTTGGCAATAGGATCGCTAGGACGACCTAGAGAGGTTAAGGATGCTCGAGTGACATAAATTTCTGTTGTCCTCTGTTATTTTGTACGCTTGTAATTGTAATGGCGCACGTGAGTAAGTCTTCCCAACTCGAAGATATCAACTCCATTACTAAACGACACAAATATATCCCCGTCCATATATGTGTATGATCTATATAGTTTGTTGACAGGTAGATACATGGCACTTGCTACGACGGGGGACGGACATGGATGTTAAAATAAACCTGAAGGTAGATCACAGGGCATCCGTTATGAACAAGTGCGTATAATATCAATAGACAATATTTTAATTATCAACTGCATAGTTTGCGTCGAACCTCTCCATTTTGTGTGTGTATTCATACGTTGGGGCGAATTGAAGACATCAAATGGACTATGACCAATAGATGTGCCATGTATGTATATAGTTTCTTCTGATTATTAAGGTAAACCTTATTTTTTAGACTACAACAAGCTTATATTCTTCGTTTCATTAAAGCAAGCGCTTCATTATTAAGTGGGTCGCTAAGTAATCAACAGGCTCCCAGATCGAACAGTTGTCATAGGCCAATTTATCCATTAATTGTTTTCATTTATTCGACTAGTTGTTGTTGTTGTGTGAACCTGGCAAGCGTACACGTGGCAACTAGATAAATAGCCCTAATCACGTGCAATTTATAAATGTTGTTAATTAATTATTTCGTTTTGTTTATGCTATTCTAGGCCAACCAATGACTTCTACAGTACCACGCTGAGCACGGCAAAGTATGATTCGTTATAGAATACTCAGGTGTTATATATATATATATATATATATATATATATTTTTTTTGCCCAAATCGTGGAGATGAGTGGTTCCGAGAGAAAAGAACGGGTTCCTTGTACAAATATAGTATTGAGATAATCTTTTCCACAGCGTATGAAGTCCTTATGGTATTTGAGGCTATGCTTTTTGCTTTCATAGCTTGTCTGCGTCTGTACCGATATGTATTGACCTACTAAATTGATAGTCATAAATAGGACTTTATATTATATTTTTAACCTGTTTGGAAACCTGTCAACAATGTTATGCACAAATCGTGTACACGCTTCAGGGTCTACAACAAAACACGAATTGCATTTCCTGTATGGAAATAAGTTTTCAGAAGCTTTACATTTTCGATGCCTGACAACCATTAGTCTATATTGAAGGTATGGAGCAGCATACAAATGTACGATTGCATACTCTGTGTCTACTACGACATCATCTAGGCCTGAAGCTGAACACCTGCACGTATGATAACGATGAGGCCGATCATTTTGCACTTTCATATGCTTATCTCAAAGGTCGAGCGGAAATTTGCCGACACTATAAGATAGCACCGACGGTAGCTTCAGCCAATGGATGATAATAGCGTATATGACTCTTCACTTTGATAATAGCGAAATAGGTAAATATGACTTTTCACTATCGTTCTAATAAATTTCGTGTGCTTGGTACAAGGTACTTGATTTTAAATATTAGATTGCCTATAGATTGTGTTCAGTTGAACTTTCTCTCCCCCCCTCCCTCTCTCTCTCTCTCTATCTCTCTCTCTGATTCTACCACAAATAGACACGTACGTATCTATATATATATATATATATATATATATATATATATATATATATATATATATAGGCCATCACATATCGCCTGCGGTAAGAGCCACGTATGGCATTTGAAGACACCAATGGAAACCTACCCACGAAGATTATTATTAAGCTCATGCATGTCTTTCTTAAGGCGTTGGGACGATCGATATCAAATCTGCTTCTTTTGTCAAGCATCATCACTACGATTACATCTATTAAGTAATTTTTAACTGTAGAAGTTGCAAGTTTCTTGATGTAGGGTGTTTCAATATTGTATTGATGACTACCACTGATTTCTTGAATCCACCTAAATGGGTACGATCAGAACAACGAGGGTAGGTGCGTTTGCTACAAATAACTACATATTGCCACCTGTCTAGTAAATCTTTCCATATAAAGAGGACACAATTGAGTTGAACCTCTACGATTCTTAGCTGGTTCCCAAAAACGAGTAGCGGCGCTGCGGGAATATACATATTAACAGCATCAATTATTTTCTAGTAATAACAAAACAAGTAATGTTGATAGTCTAGGATAAATTATAACAATCGTTCCCGTTCCCTACGCAGAACTGCCACGACAGCGGTGGTAACCAATAAGGTCACAGCTTGAATTTTATGCATATATAAGTAACATAATATAAGAACGACGCGACGCCACACGATCGGTCAAACGCGTAATTACCTGAAAGTTATAACTGGGCTTGGCTCCTTTTCCAACACAAATATGCTAGATAGGTGAATAGACGGCAGTTGGCGTAGTCGATACTATGCCAGGCTTAGCTGTAACGGCCATAGGAGTAACAGAAGGCCACATTTTAATAGTATCTATTTATGTTTAATATTATAGGAAATAGTTAGGCCATCGCTTCAAATAGCTAAACGAGGTGTTGTACAGGGTGACTGAATATTACCAGCGAATGTTATTACATCTAGACGAGCTGAGTTTGGTTTAGTCCTTATGCTGAGCCTTTACAGCTTGTGTTTGAAACACTATTTTAGACGGTGGCTCTCGCAGCTCCGCTGGTACAAGAGGAGCTAAGTGCATAAGGTGTGGACTAATGGGCTGGGGCATTTAGAAATCGATCGATTCGATCCCAGCCTATATATATTTGCAACCCCCGAAAAATTGCTGATTTGTTCCCAGTAAACCTTATCTTTCTTATAATCTGAAGCACAGTGACTGAAAGGTGTTAAATGTCTTGGTCGCCAGAAACATGGCGGCCCAGAAAGGTATCTGTTGTTCGTAATCAGATCAGCGTTGGAGCGAGCGCTTTGTCTTGCTGCGTTTAAACAGTGTTATCTCGGTTCAGAGTGTTAAAAAGAGAATACGTGACTCTCTAGCATGCTCTAATGACGGCGACTTTCCATGGCCAGTCCTGAATAGCGGGCTGTTATCGCAGTTCACTCTGCCATGATAAACTGTTCTACTAGAAACAAATCACAGTGTTTATATGCTCGGTTGCCATTGGCCTCAGAGCCCTTTTCGTTTGTTACAAAAGGTCTACGTTTAAAATAAGCCCTCAGAAAACACTGAAACACCCTGTACACAGAGATAGAGCACACAATGTAAGACGATAGCGAGTTAGACAAACGACAGGGATGGCTGTTTAATAGCTGAATCAGTGATACCTTATTCATAGATGTCATTCTAGCGTCGTCTATGATATCTGTTTATTAGAAAGTGAGGAAGCTCCTACTGCAGAAACTGCGACATTTGCGAACGCCAGACGACTTGGAAAAGTAGCTGGGGGCATTTGCGCAGATGTAGGTCACGGCAAGCCGACCAAGACTCATCATTTTGCGTCTTGTAGCAGCGTATTCATAATAACCGCAATCATGCTTATAGTGATAATGCCTGGTGGCAGTCGCTCTTGTCAATTTATCATAAAGAAATGTCGATACGATAGGACCCCCCAGCATTGTAGCGTAAAGGTGGGGAAGTAGAAACAGGGTATAGGGAAGTGGTCACAAACAGACGCTTCGTTTGCTTCCGGGTTAGACTTTGCAACTATCTGCCTTTGAAGTTTTAGTGATGTGTTATGTATGCGGTACAATACAGGGACAACTTTCTTAAAGGATTTACTTGATTTGCTTGGGATTACGTAAAGTTTTAATAGGCAAGGCAGGCGCTATAGAATAT